GTTTAATGAGACCCGGCTCAGGGCAATAAGGCAGAGAGAGACAAGGAAAATGCCTGACATCTTATTCTGGCCTCCACGTGTGTGCATGCATGCATGCACATGAGTGTGCACACACACACATCACAATACAGGAAGAGGAGGGAGGGAGAGAGAGAGAGAGAGAGAGAGAGAGAGAGAGAGAGAGAGAGAGAGAGAGAGAGAGAGAGAGAGATTGCCAAAATACGAAATTGGTTTCTGCCAGTCTAGTGTGAAGGCTGTCTGTCATATCTTGAGTATCTTATTGGTAGAACTGAGCAATAGATGTTCAGCAGGTTAAGAAGGTTCTCATGGTCTTTAGCAGGGCTCTGTATGGTAATTTACAGATGTGGAGTCTCACTGTGTCTGAATTGCTTCTCGGGCTGGCACCTCACACAGCTGCTGCTTCAGTGCCCATGTCCTCTGGGCCTGCAGCCCTAGATAAACTCCACGCTCCCAACACACCATACCCCTATTCTATATTGTCACTGGATGGCCAAAGTCATCCCAGCCACACAATGTTCACAAATTGTCACCTCCGCCACAGCTCTGGAACTCCTCAGTATTTACTGTTTGAATGAATGGAATGGTATCACCATGTAGCTAGTTGCTAAAGTCCATAAACTAGGAGCCGTTAAAAAATCCACCCCCTCCTTTCTCTGTGCATATGACAGTTACTCATTTACCAAGATGCTCTTTATCTGTCTACATCCTTATGACACATATTGTGTCATACCAAGATCAAGGTAAATCATAAATCCCCCCTGCATCCATCCAGTTCCCTCCCTGAAGCTAGTGAAAAACATATAGGCACTGCCCTTTTCCCATCACTGTAGAGGACACGCCCACATGGCTTCTCAGTCTGCCCCAGCTTCTCTCTCTGCCTCCTGCCCTGTGATTTGACAGTGACTCTGGATGCCTCTGAGCTGTTTCAGGAAGGCATATGTTCTCATCATAGCTTCCTTCCCTGCCTTCCCTACATGGTTGTTTGATGCTCAGCCTTTGTATAAGGTCAACTTAGAGGTCCTTTACAAACAGCAAAGAGCGGCCACCGAACGAGAATGAGCTTCACTTCACCTATTACGTCAATCCCTGTGCTTTGCTGTAAGCACTGCCTGTAATTTTAAGTTTCAGAAGGCAGCAGCTTGTCTAGCCATGACACAGTGTGTAGTCCGAAGCAGAACCGAGCACATACTATTTGACAGAATGAAGCATCTTATCTTTCTTCTAAGCCTCTGAACTAAAATAACCAACATTAAAAACAAGGCTGAGAAATCTAAAATCAGTATTTCATCTCAAAAGTAGTATTTTCTTTTACATTGTTTTTCTCATTTCTTAATATCATTATTATTCTCTGGGGGCCATTTTTGTTTTATTGGCTTGGGTAGTGTTGCCATACTGGATGCTTACTGGGATGCCTGCATAATCTACAAGTCAATTCTTGCCTATTTTGGAAAATCTCACCCTTTGTCTCAGAGTCTATCCAAGTTCTTCCCAGAGGACTGAGATGAGTTGCAGGCTTTAAGTGGATTCAAGTGAAATGTGTCATCCCTGGAGTTGGGAGCAGAAACAGCTCATCCTGTGTACAGAGAAATCTGGTCTGGAGAGAAAAGGGAAAAGGGGAAAGGGAGGAGAGGAAAGAGTGGGTGCTGTGGGATGTTCTCTATGCTGTGAATGTATTACTATGATTGATTGATAAATAAAATGATGATTGGCCAGTAGCCAGGCAGGAAATATAGGCAGGATGAGCAGATAGGAGACTTGGGGGAAGAGGAAGGAGGAGTGAGGGAGACAGATGCTGCCAGCTGCCGCCATGAGGAGCAGGATGTAAAGTACTGATAAGCCGCAAGCCACGTGGCAAGGTATAGATTTATAGAAATGGGTTAATTTAAGATATGAGAACTAGATAACAAGAAGCCTGAGCCATTAGGCCAAACAGTTTAAGTAATATAAGTCTCTGTGTGTTTACTTGGCTGCAGGACTGGCGAATGAGAGAGATTTGTCCTGATTGTGGGCCAGGCAGGACCAGGAAAACATCCACTACAGGTGGGAGAGGAGGATAAGGGAGAGGAGGTGATAAGAAGAGAGGGAAGGAGATGAGAGGGAGTATATGAGAGTAAGGGGGAGAGAGAGGAGTGTGAGACACAAAAGAGGGGAGAGTGGAGTAGAGAGGAGAGAGGAGAGGAGAGGGGGAGGAGAGGGGAGGGGGGAGGGGAGGGGAGGGGAGGAGAGAGGAGGGAGTGGAGGAGAATAGAGGGGAAGAGAGGAGAGGAGAGGGGAGGTGAGGGGAGGAGAGGGGAGGGAAGGGGAGGAAAGGAGAGGGGAGGAGAGGGAAGGGGAGGAGAGAGGAGGGGAGAAGAAGGCAGGAGAGGGGAGGGGAGGAGAGAGGAGAGGAGAGGGGAGGGGAGGGGAGGAGAGGGAAGAGGAGGGGAGGGGAGATAAAAGGACAGGGAGAGGGGTGGAAGAGAAGGAAGGAGGAGAGAAGAGAAGAGGGAAGTTAGGAGAATGAGAGGAGGAAGAGACACCAGTGGGGGAGGGGAGACAGATGAAAGAAAGGGAGGAGGGAAGGAGAAGAAAGCGGAGGAGAGGGCACATGGTAGAGAAGGGAGGAGAAAACAGGACAGAGAAGGCAGGGAGAAGAGAGGGAGAAAGCAGAGGAGAGAAGGGACAGGAGATGATGGCAGTCTAGGGCTTGTTCCTAGGATGAGCTCCTGCCTTCGTGTTGTCTTGAGATAGTTTTCATTTAAAAATTACTGTGTGTGTGTGTGTGTGTGTGTGTGTGTGTGTGTGTGTGTGTGTGTGTGTGTGTGTGCATGTGTGTAAGCACCCAAGTAGATGTCAGAGGACAACTTGAGATAGTCCCTTAATGTAAATACCCCTTTTATTGCCTAAGCCAGGTTAAGGCACTTTGACTTTTAACCGTGATAGTGTATTTTAAATGATACTTGGTAAAACATTAACTTGAGTACACAGATAACTTCCAATAATTGTAGACTGGTGCATGAAAAATAAAATGTGCCTTCCTCACTCAGCTCTTCCAGATGAGGAGATTGGAGCCTGTGGTAATTCAGACTTCACGTTGGTAGCGACAACGCAAGAATGATTTAGAAAAGAGAGCTGCTGCTTGGCGCGATATGTGGAGGAGGAGAAATGCCGTGCAGAAGCTTGGACCAAGGTTCCTGTCCGGTGAGAAACGTGTACACCTTCGGTGCGGGCATGGCGACGCTGAGGCATGCTTTGCAAAGCAGAGCGCTAGGTTCAAAACTCGTATCCCTTAGCACTTCCCAGAGTTGATGAATCAAAGTATCCAAGGGGGCCTGAACTTCAGCTTTTCTAGGCAGGCTCAGTAAGTACCTGGCATACCTGCTAAGTTCCAGAACCCCAGTCCAAATCCTCCTCCCATACAAACTCATCCAGGTGTAATGTGAAGCCCAGACATGGCTACATGTTGAGAGTTGGTGAAGAGAGACATGGGGAAGACTCTCAACTTACTCTACCCTCTTCCCCTGTCCTGCTCATTTGGAAGGAATATAATCTGACAGGAAAGTTGTTTTGTGTTACCCTCATTTGGTCCTTGTTCAGCCTTCACAGGAAGCCCTGCACTGGCTGATTGATTGACACATCCTTTACTTCCTTGCCCTGTAGAAGGCAGACATTCTGTCCATCAAGTGCTCTGTTACTACCAGTGGGGAAAGGATGTTTATGACAGACATAATGAATAGCCATAACTTTCTCAGTAAACTGAAATTGCAACACAAGAGTTGGATTTCATTAATCACCTTGACATAGTTAGAATAGTAAAAACGTGAGGGATCTTGAATTTTTAATTAGTCAAAACTAGAACACATTATATAGGAAACCCCTCACCCCATCAAACTATTAACCATCATTGATTAGTATTGTATAGATTAAGAAAACAAATTTAACTATGCTTTTTTGGGCACTGCCATGGGTAGCATTAACATACTGCATGATCCAAATTCTCTCTCAGCCCACTATTATAGCTCTGCCAGTGCTATGGAAGGTTTCTAGAAAATTTATAAGAATATGTTATTATCTTGCTTTGCCTAATCTCAGAGGAGAAACAAAAGCCAAAAAGTTGAGTCAATGATGTATATTTGGGAAGTCAGCTTACTGAACTTCTTCCCCAAACCAGAGACCATTCTATAGCTAGAAAGGATGGTAGAAAGAGACAGAATTTAATCAAAGTTGTCCATAAAATATTAATGGTTTCTAAGATTTATTAAGACCATCATAAAAGAACCAACATAAAAGTGACCAGTGAACCATGAAACCAAAAAGCCTAATGCTTTCCACTAAATGTTCTGATTATCAAGCTAGTCCTTTAGGACAAACCGATATTTTTGTGATGTCTGCAAAATATGAATTATCTGTTTGTGCTGCATGGATTGCCATGTACCCTCATTATGAAAAATGCAATGAAGAAGGGCTTATGTTTCCTATCATGAACCATTTCTTTCTTTCTCTACTTTAAAATAGTCAATCTGTCTTTGGAAAGGCCAGGAGTATGGTTGGAAAATACGTTCTGAAAACATGCAACTTACAACAAAAAATATTGAGGTTTTACACTGATTAATGGTAACGCTGAGCTTTAAAAGGAATAAATAAAAAATAAATAAATTGCTTTAAACAGGTGTCTAAAGGAGCCGAATATCAGTGGAGACCACATTACTTTGGGGTTTCAGTGAAAACTTGGGTTGCACAGTTGACAAGCTTTATGTCTAAGGCAGCTTTTAAAGCCATCTTGCCTTTCTAACATTGTCTCTTGACCATAAAGGGACTGTTTGTTTTGTCTTAAATGCTTGTGAAAGTCACTCTGGACTTTTTTATACCAAAAAACCTGTGCCATGTTAAACTTGACCTTCATCTTTTATGAGAGAAATGCTTATGCATAATGTACTTTCCAGAAAATGGATTTTTGCCAGGAAGCAAGTCCTCATGTGGGAAAAGACAGCGACCCTTACCTGGGTAATCATTCTTGTCTATGTCTGCGTCTCCTCTTAGAGAAAAGCCAAATCCAGAAGGGATGGTCTGTGAGGCCCACATTCCCTGCAGCACTTGGGAAGGCTTGGCGTGTAAGCCTTGTGGATTCCCATTGTAAATGAGCACTTTACCTCTTTGATCCTTGCCTGCAAAGGGCACACCGATGGCGATGTCTACAGAAAACAAAGGGAATTTTAGAAAATATTAAATGCAATCCAAAGGGAACATCACATGGCCCAAGTGGCTTGTTACACTTTCTAGAGGTTTCTGGAGTACTGTAGCAACACAGAAGAGTCCTTGCTTTTTATCAGCGTGGTGAGTGTCTGCTGGGAGAATGCTAGGTGCTGGGTGCAGCAAGTGCAAAGCCAGTGAGACACTCAAAGGCCCTGTGTTTGGAAAGTTGGTGTTTCAGGGGGGAAGGTAATGGGCACTTTGAATAGAGACACAGGTAAGGAAATAGTGAAGACAATAAATGGGGCAGAAAACCTTTTTTTTTAATGCTGATACAGTGGGGAGAGAGAGAGAGAGAGAGAGAGAGAGAGAGAGAGAGAGAGAGAGAGAGAGAGAGAGAGAGAGCATTGTTTTAGACTGGGGTGGTCGGTCAGACAAGGTGTCACTGTGGCTAGCATTGAAACTGAGATGTATGGTCACAAAGGAACCAAGTGTGCAACAATTAAAAGGAAGAGCCCTTCCTCCCCTTTCAGGAGAAGTAGCTACTTCACAAAGATGCAGAGGTGGAAAGAGGGTAGCCCATCTGAGTAGCAGAGAAGGCAGAGAACTATCTACATGGGACCTCAGTAACTGAGAGGTACAGCCAGGCCCTACTGTATATCAGGAGGTTGGTAGACCAGGTACCATTTTAGGAGTTTCTTCTTTCAAAGAAAAAAAAAAAAACTATTCTTGTGGAATCCTTTATTAATAGTCCCCTAATCTAATGAACTTAAAAAAAAAACAACCTATTTTGTAATTAAGGGTACTAGGAAACTCAGAAAGTGCCATATTACCCAACTCTCACCCAAATATAAAACATTCATCTCCTGCCATATGGGACATCAAGATGGGCCTGGATATTAAACAGAAACTATTACAGTTTAAAAAAGAAGTCTCCAAACAGCAACATACGAGTTTTCCAAATGAGAAGGAGTCTCATTTGTTGGTGAAGTGTCTCACTGTATATAATGAGGAGGATTATAAATCCACTTTCACTGACCTGTCCAAGAGCAATGATCTAACAACTCAGATTGTTGTAGAAAATAAAACATTGTCATGTGCTTGGTGGGAAGGAATGCTTTCTGTACTCCCCCTAAGGCCATGACTTTTCAGCTTTCCCAAAGTTTAAGCCCAGCTAGCTTGGCATTATTTCGCTTATTTTGTACTCCAGAACTCCAAGGCTCAGAGCCCAAGATAAACTCTTAGCTTTTAAGAACATCAGAATTGGATTAAAGGAAAGGCAAATAGGAAACAGGATGAAAAAGACAACTCACATAATCTGGCATCATGTTTTCCCTGGGATAGTCATTTTAGATGGCAACAAGCCAAGTTACTTCAAGGAGAACTTGCCTTTTTTATTCTCCCAGAACATAGCATCTAACATGCACTTGGGCTTCTTGCATTCTAGGGCTTGAGTCAAGAGCTTCCCACATGCTAGGCAAGTGCTCTACTGTTGGCCTGTACCCCTGGCCTAAGCATGTATGTTTGCAGGACTCGAACAATTACTAGTTGCTGAGAATTTTTTTTCAAAGAAGTTCTGAGTCTTGGTACTAGTGCCTGTGAATATCCCTCTGATGGGAATCTTTCCTCTGCTAGATAAATCCAGAAAACTCCTCTTCTAGCTTCCTCTTTGAATGATAAATATATTGGACTTCAATCTTCACTTATATGTCCTGAAAATGTTTGCAAATTTTGATGTGAGCATACAGTATTTTCTGGGGTGGTATTTAGAAAGCATCTATGGATTCCTTACTTAAAGAACCACATGCCCCAAATAAGGATTTAGCACTATTATGTTGCAAATGTAGAAAGGGCTTTTGCAATGACGTTTATTGACCATGTATAACAGGCATAACTCATGTAGTTTCATCAGAGTATAGTAATATATTTGCTAACATACCAACAAGTATTTATCTCCACTCTATTCATAAGCAAGCTTCTAGAGCTCTCAAGCCACCATTGAGAAATCCTATATGATAAAATTTCTTTGCATTTTCTTAATCAAAACATACAAAGTTAAATTTGCCTTGAGATTTTTCAGAATTTATTAAGAATCAACAATAATAACCAGCCCCCACCATTAAGAATCATTTCAATGGCCACGATTTCCTTCTTGCAACAGTAACATGGCCTTAAGGTGAGAGCAAGTCCCACACATTGCTCTAAATTACCATTGTATCCATCTTGATTCAGGTCCCCCAAGTGGGCCACAGAGCTACCGAATCTCCCAAAAGTCTCCGTGCCGGTGAGGACCTGTGGGTCTTGGAAGAGGAGGGTGCTCACTTGTAGGTACAGGTAGACCTGCCCTACTTCTCTAGGGTTACTTTCAAATTCACGGTCCATAAAGAGAGGGGCTCCGATCAATATGTCATCCATGCTGCAGGGAACAGAGAGAGGGGACAGTCAGCCGCCTTGGCAGACAAGGCTCTCTGATGTGTTTGTAACCAACCAGATGAGTGTGTTTCCTTTAGTGTGTTTCCTTTCCTCAGGGCCATTTTACAATCATCAGATTTCTTTCATAGCTTTGTTGTGTCTACAGAGCAGAATGCTGAAGAAAATAAAGGTTGTTAAATTATCACATTGAACTTTCCAACTATGGGAAAAATGACTAAGAAACCACAGACATTTCATCCTTTCTGGCATTTTAGTGCATTTCCAGAAACTTTAGTCACACATGGAAAACATATCAAACAGACCTGAGCAGGTTTTAGTTTTTAAGAACACAGAGTTTGTCTGTAATTTATTGAGCTGACCCTGACTTCTTGAAGTAACAAGATTTCAAATAATTTTTGTCCTGTCCTTCCTTTGGTTAAATAAAAGAGGCCAGAGAAGTAGTTAATGCTGGCTGGAACACAAATTTTTATTCCTAATGAGATATGCAGTCATTCTGTGTATGTCATAGCTAGAAACTAATAAAAGATTTTTAAAGGATTTAGAGATGAATTATAACTACTGTGTGAATAAGAAATAAAGATGGCTAGAGGCGTCTTCTTCACAGAGGTAGACACTACAGAAGGGATGGAACAAGGAATATTCTATTTTGTCAGGAGACTTCTAAAATATTTGATTTTTATTTTCAAAAAATTAAGGAAGCTCCTACTAACCAAAATGCATGCTTTGACCTCTACTAATGATTGCTGCTAAAGTATGTCTGCAGACAAGCTTATCTTGGCAGATGCAATAGTATGAAAATACAAATTTGCGTTTGACTCTTAAGTCTATGCAGATCAATACTGAGGTTTGCCAAATTACCTAATTACCTGAATACTTCATTCACATGACTTAACTATATATTGTTATGATATTCCTACTAATAGTAAACTATTAATACAGCAAGTACATTAATATTATGTATGATGTGAGAAGATCAATGCTTTGATATGTTAGTATAAGTATATGAAAGAGATATTAATATATGACATATTTATAATACAATTTTAAAAAGTAAAGAATGGAGTGGGAAGTCATTGAAAGCCAGATACTTTATTCTTTCTTTCCTCTCTTTTCCCTTTTTTACTCTTCCCTCTTTTTCTCCCTTTTCCTCCCCTCTCTTCCCTCTCTCTCTTCCTTTCTTCCTTTATCTCTCTCTTTCTCTCTCCTTCTATTATTCCCTCCTCTCCTTCTATTTTTTCTTTTTGATCTCCTATGTAGCCAAGGCTGGCCTTGAACTCATGATTGTTCGGTCTCAGCCTCCCAAATGCTGGAGTAATAGATGTGTGCCACCATGACTAGTTTTTGAGCCAAAATCTTTCCAGAAACTCAAAGTGGTATGAATGACACACCATACTAACCTCATTGTCCTGACCTTTCCATGAATTTGGAGCTTACCTATCGTAGCAGCCTGCTATCTATTTCTCAGGGCTCTTTTCCTTCTGTTGGTTTATCTTGTCCAACTTCAATATGATAGTTTTTTTTTTATCTTTTTATCTTTATTTTTTTAAATGAATGAATGAATGAAACCCTAGCTACTAGAATAAAGGTTAATAACTGAATTATACTTGCTGGAAGAAGTTGAAACAGTTTTCTTTAATAGAGTGACACTGGGTATATCAAGCACTCTAGGACAGGCCTCATATAGTTGACCAACATATAATGAACTCCATGTTATTTGTGTGCTGTTATCTGGTTACAGTTTGGTGGGTTTTTTGTTTGTTTGTTTGTTTGTTCGTTTTGCTTTGTTTTCATTTTGGATGTGGTTTCATTTTGTTTTGTTCGTTTTGGGGAGTTTTGATGTATTGTTTTTCTTTTTGAGAAAGAACATAAAGTAGAGTAGGTGTGGGGGCAAAGGGTCTGGAAATACTTGAAGGAGGGGGAATAACATGATCAAAATATAAAACTGTTTTAAATAATAAAAACATAATAAAACAAAGAAACGGTATATCATGTACACCTGCTAGGTTTAAGACTATAGTTAATAATTTAAAGAATACAGTGTTGAATATTGGGTCAACTCAAAACTTGGAAAAGATATACTTTCAACTTGTCACTCATATAACTACAAACAAAGGAGCTTGAAAAAAAAATAAAATTAGGATCCAAATTAGTGCTGTGGTTACAGACAGAGGAGAGGCTGGAGCTTAGAGGGAATGAAGGGACATTGACCACATGTAGGAATCTGCTGGTGGATCTAGAAGTAAGCATTCCAATGTTGAGACCCAAGACATGTACCAATGAGTAGTCAGAGAACATTGAGTAGCTGAGGCGAGCTCCGTAATTTGAGTATTCTAGCACATTCAACTGGAAAGATAAAATGTATAAGCCATTCTTCGAATTCAAAATTGAAAAATAATCATGTATACCAATGTTATATATTCTAGTGTTGTATGTAATATTATAGAACACCATAGATTATTTTATAATTGTGCTATATTTATATAATATATAGTAAGAAATGTAAGCCAGTTAAAATCTATTGAACCTATTAAAGTTGGGCAAAATATCTGAATAGATACCTGCTTAAAGAAAATACAAGCACACAAGAAGATGTTCAAGCCGGGCGGTGGTGGCGCACGCCTTTAATCCCAGCACTGGGGAGGCAGAGCCAGGCGGATCTCTGTGAGTTCGAGGCCAGCCTGGGCTACCAAGTGAGTTCCAGGAAAAGGCGCAAAGCTACACAGAGAAACCCTGTCTCGAAAAACCAAAAAAAAAAAAAAAAAAAAAAAAGAAGATGTTCAATGTCACATTGCTAGGAATTAAAAATCTAAATAATGAGGTGCTACTGTAATCGCTTGGAATAGCTGAACTCCAAGTGCTGCTAGCACCAAATATAGTGTGGCTCTGGCAATATGCAAATCAATACAGCCACTCGGAAGCAATCTAGCAGGTCCTTACAAAGTTACACACAGGATTATCACATATGATCTCACATTTGTAGTCCTTTTCAGTTTCCCAAGTGAACCTGATACTTAACGCCCACCTGAAAATCTGCATGCAGATATTTGCAGCATAACTGCTAAGGCTTGGAAACAACCAAGATGCTCTCAAAAACCGTGTTACATCATCTGGTGGAACACTCTTCAGCAATGAAAACGAATGGGTACAAAACCATGGGAAGATATGGAGGAAATGGCACTTATTACTGATTGAAAGAAGTCGATCTGAGAAGATGAAATGCTGCGTAATTCAGGGAAAGCCCAAACCGTGGAAACTAGGAAGAGTAGTGATTGCAGGGGTAGGGTATGTGAAGGGGGTAAGAAAGAGGTGCCTGGGATTTGTATGGTAGTGACACTGTAATGTAGCCTGTGGGTGACACCGCAGTGATGGATATATGTAGACACACACATGGCAAGAACCATAGAACCTTATAAAACAGAGTGAATCTCCCTGTGAACTGTGCTTTTCAGCTCTCAGGATGCTTCCTCCTTTGAGAAAAAAATGCACTATACTGATACACAATGTTAAGAGCAGGGGAAAGAGGAGGGGTGAGGAGGGATGTGCCAATGTTGTACTTCCTGATCCATTCTCCTATAAACCCAAGCAGGAAATATATTAATACTAGTGAATAGAAAGGCAATTGAAGAGCCGGGCAATGATGGTGCACACCTTTAATCTCAGCACTTGGGAGACAGAGGCAGGTGGATCTCTATGAGTTTGAGGCCAGCCTAGTTTACAGAGAGAGTTCCAGGACAGCCAGGGCTACACAGAGAAACCCTGTCTTCTTGTCTTGTAAAATCAAAAAGAAAAAGAAGAAAAATAAAAAGAAAGGCAATTGAAGAAGTAAGTTGAATCCAGATGAAATGAGAAAAATGGGCATTTGGGAATAATATTGATGTAGAGTTAGACCTTCCACTGCAGTAAGCGCGTGTAGCATGGTGAGGAGAGCTGCATTTGTTAAATGTGGACAATATAGAAAAATAGACTGCTTCACTGAATACCATTGAAGGCATCTCTCCCTGCTCCCTCTTGCCCACCCTGACACCGACTACAGTAGTATTTAACAAATGGCAGGTGTTATGGAGGGCTTGGGCTACCTGGCAAGGAGAATACCCAATACTTTTACACCAATGTAAATAGAAAGAATTCATGTCCAAAAAGCAAAGTTTGTTTCCTTCTTTCTGATTCTGTAAGAGCCACAAACAAGTAGGAAGTAACTCTGGAATGGTTGGAGCCTAGAGATGCTTTGAGAACAGGCTACCCACAGTAGTAGACACAACACACTGGAGAACACTGGGAGGAGCTTCCAGCTGCCTGCACTGTGAGAAGGAAGTGGAGGCGGAGGGACGGAGTTCAGGACTGGCTGTTATTTTTGTTTTAGATTCCAAAACCTAAGAAGGATTCCTAAATTTAAATTTTTCTCTCTCCCTCCCTACTTCCTTCCACCCCACCTTTTTTTCTTTCATCCCTTTCATTCTTTCTTCTCTTAGGCAGGGTCTAACTATGTCACCCAAGTTGGCCTGAAACTTAACAATCTTCCTGCTTAGCCTCCTGAGTGCTGGGATTGTGTGCTGACACCCAACTTAAAATGTTCCAAATACATGTCAAAAAAAAGCAAGACTAAAAACATCATTTTTCCTCTTGTTGTGCCACCCGTACTCCCAGCTCCTGGTCTTGTACCAGGGTGCCCTGGCTGGCTCTATGACTGTCATGTCAAACGTGAAGATGCATTTGTCTAATCATCTAGCTGTGAGTGTCGCAGCCTCAAAGTAAGACCCACAAAGTTAGTATTCTGCATCACAGAGACTAACAGAAACAATTTCTTATTCCAGAAAGAAGGAACAAAGCCATCTACTTGGTTCCTGAGGGTGTGACTATAACAAAGTTTGCCACAATTGGCTCAATTCTTTTCTTCTTGCAAACACTGGGTCCTAAAAGTGGGAAATGCAGTCCCTATGATCACGAGGGACTGGAGCATTGATGGAATGTTTGAATTCCAAAGTA